TTTAAAGAAACTGCTTAAAGTCTGACTGCCCTGTTTATCATGAATGCAGAGGAAGAGTTCATGAATTCACAATTTGTTGCATTTATGTGGCTTTCATTTTAGCTTAGCTTGAATTTGAAAGTTCTTGATTGTCGGGCAGGACACACTGACTGTTTATTCAACAGAGGTAGAAAAGAAGTTGTAAAAGCACTCGTTGGTATAAGTCGCCCTGCTCGGACTGCAGTTCACACAGATAATAAGAATATAGTGAGTGTGTGTCTGAACCTGAAAAGCCTCTTGTAAAGTGAACCTGTGAGCCATCCATTATTCATCGTGATCAAGCGTTGCCATGACTCTCTGTCTACTTGGGAGGACCTTACAAGTTTGGCACGACTCCTTGAGTGTCTGTTCCTGCTGCCAAGTGTTTCTCCAACAGCCTGAAAAAAATATGGCAGCCTCAGAGATACATACAGTGTTTGTTAGAGAGACGCACTGGGAATATCAGATGTGCTACTGCCACCTCATGGCAAATTTACAGTCAATGCAAGAGACTCTGAGAGTGACTGAGAGGATGTTTTTTGCCAAGCTTGATGGATAATGTGCTTTACGGATTAGTCACAACAACAGTTTAAGACATTTATTCATGCAAAACTTTTTCATACTAAAACAACACATTGGGAGTAATTTTATCAAATGTTAATATATCAAACATGGCTTGACGGAGCTTTAACCATTTGTTATTTCCATGTTACAAAAAAGGTGGAAATGACTCTTTCCCAAGGTGTTGCTAACATCAATTAATTCTATTAGGTTTGTGTTGGATGTGAATAATCACTGCTGTGAAAGACAAGATTATAAATGTTTGGATAACAGTAAATGCCATTTTGATAATTGTAATGGAAGAATGAAAACAGCTCCCATGAAAATGCTGAAGTGACATTTAGTATTTGTCTCGTCTGTCTGCAGGAAAGTTATGAAATGGTTCAGCAGTCTGACTTCAATAGAGACGTATGCCAGTGATTAATGTCACACTTCCATTAAGCTTTGGGGCTCACAACAGATAGATTAAAACAAGAAAGAGAGTCTGCAGCTACAACAGCGTCTCTGTGAGGCACACTGCTCTTTTTCTATAAATATATATATATAAATAAAATATGTTATTCTTCTTTATTACTGTTGTGGTGCTTTGAGCTATGTCCAGATGCTAACATGCTCATAGTCAAAATGCATCAGTCATTTACTTATTAGCACTTGCAGTAGAGGTTCATGGGAGTGTCATTTGTGGGGAGCCTGAGGGGGGGAAGGAATGTCTGTACCAAATTTCATTGTTGAGATATTTTAATGTGGACCAAAGTGGTGGACCACATGTTAGCATGCTAAACTGATTAGCACACCAATTAGCACAAAGTACCCCCACCACTATGGAAAAGCGGTATGTGGTAAATCAACACAGGTAGAGTCGTAAAGTTTGGTATGGTGTATGAGTAAGGTCAGTCTATTGTGTGCTAACCTTAGCAAACGCTAGCTATCATAAACAACCACTGCTCATACCAAAACCAAATGAGGCTGTAAAGCTGCAATGTGTTTGAATTCAGCTTCTCATTTGGAGACTAAGAATGTGTTATTTCTTCTTTCAGAAGTGAAATAGTTTTAGTTTTAAAGTCAGTGATCTTCACAGTTCTTAAGATCAGTGTGTCCTTCACACACCAGAGCTGCACTCACTGGTTTATAGGGAGCTTCAAAAAGAAGAACACACCCATCTTTGTGTTTTGCTCACAGTGGGAGATCTCAAAAATGGATTTCCAGATGCTCAAAATAACTTTAATCCCACAATAAAGTTGATGATGTTCAGCTGATTTGCAGTTGAACAGCTGCTCTTTGTGCATGTTGTTTTGTTACTGAGGAGATCCAGACCTTCGTGAAATGTGCAGTGCATGAGTCTGATACCAGAGGTGTAATTCTATCCTGCATTAGCAGGTGGCTAAAAATATTACCTTCCTCATCAAGGGACTGTTTTGTTTTTCAAAACTAGGATAGTGCAATGTGGTAGTTGACGTTTTTATATGTTACAGTTTCACAACTGAGGATTTAGCTTGGCTCTTGTGTGATCCAATTTCAGGCTTTTCCATTTCCTGTGTGTGTTCTCAGTCGCTATAAAACCAGTCATCCTTCTTCTCTGCCATTGTCAGGTGCAGCCTATCCCCCCGTTCCCATTTATAATTAGTATCTGGTCTCACTCTCCCCTCTTCAAACACAATAAAGCACATCTGTTTATTTCTCACTCTGATCTCAGTGCCCTAATTTCTTCTCTTCCTTCTCTGTTGTTTCTCTCACTCTGGCTCTGCTGGAACACGGTGGCACTTTTTAGCTCGTTCACCAGAATGTCTTTCATGTGCCTTATCAGACGCCTTCAGGAATTCAACCACCCTAGGACTTTAGCATAGTTTACACAGTGAGAACAACTCAGTCTAGAGCTTATTGATTAAGTTTCCAAAGTAAATGCCGTTGCACAATGGTTCTGTGATTCTGAATAATGTTGCCCCCTTAAGAAGAATCATCAACCTACAGCTTGTTGTAGACAGAGAATTAAAAGAAATTACCTGAACAAAGAAACAGTTTTAGAGTTTGTTTGGTTTTTTTGCATGTTTTCAGCCTGAAGCATGGCCTTAGGGACAGTAATGTCGATCCATCTGTTGGTCCGCCACTTCATTCCAGACTGACAGCTATTGGATGAATTACCATGAAAATGTGTACAGACATTCATGGTCCCCAGAGGAAAACCCTACAGACTTTGGCAATCCCCTGACTTTTCTATCTCTAACATGATATGATGAGATATTGATGAGTTTAGTGAAATATCTTAATAACTATTGGATTAATTGACATGAACTATGGACATTCATGGTGCCCAGAAGATGAATATTAATGACTTAATAAAAGGTTTCACTTTTCCTCAACATCCACGAAATTGATTTGCACAATCATTCATGGTGATGGATCCTAATGAACATTCAGTCAGTGACTCTGTCATTGTTGTGTTGTATTTAGATTTATCAGTGTAAAATCAATCCATTATCTATTATCTGTTGAATCAGTCTCTCGAATGATCCTAATCACTCACAACAAGCGTCACCTAAAAATAATTTTGCATGTTGTGACTTCTTATTGGAGGAGTTAAACAACGATGCCTCTGTGCATGCATCAGTGTTTACTCATTATTCCAATGAGTTTGCGCAGTGCAGTGGCACTTGTGCAGCATCAGCCATTTCCCTTTGAATATGGTTATGGGTTGTGTGTAAATTGATACAGATGATATGTAAAATGGCTTACAATGCCTGTTTTTAAGCAATGCCAGCCATTCCTGCTGGTGTCATGCTATAAACTGAGCCTATCTGGCAGCTTCAAACGCTTTCATCTCCTCCAGGAAACAGTCCTCCTGACAGCTTTTTAGAAGTTTCAGTCTCTCAGTGGTGTGTCTTGGGTGTGCTGTCATCCGAAGCCCTCGCCTCCCAGAGACGACGCAGGACAGCCGTCACCAGCTCCTTCCTGGAGGTCAGCTGTGGGACATCTGGCAGGACAGTCTGTCCGACACAGAGTGATACCGCTGGAGGTTTAGGTTTTTAGTTTGGTGTAGGCCTCATTAGAATCAGGTTTGGGCTTTCACACGACACAGATGACAGGATATCTGCCCGTCATGACATGAGGAATTCCCGTATCTTAAGGAAATAGTTTGACATTTTGAGACAAAGACTCACCGGTATTCCTTTCCCTGCATAGTTAGATGAGGAGGTTGGTACCACATTAACCGCCAGCAGTCGGTTAGCTTAGCATAACAGTTAGCATGACTCTGTCCAAAGGTTAAAAAAAAGTCCACCAGCACTTCTAAAGCTCACCAATTAGCAGTTTATTACTTATTATTACTTATTGTCAACCTTACATTGACAATAAGACTAAAATTCAGTGCGAACAAACAAAAAAAAGAACAACCAAAGAATAACCCCCATAACGTGTCGTTTTTACACAAAACACCATATTAAGATAAGCTAAATGCCAACTAGCATTAGCTACTTAAACACTGTATAGGTACGAGAGTGGTATTGACCTTCTCATCTAACTCTCAGCTGGAAAGCAAAAGAGCGTATTTACCAAAAGTTTGAACTATTTTAAGGACTTTTAAGGATTATGGTTATGTCAGCTCCTGCCTATTGTTATTTGGTTGTCTTATATGTCCCCAAAAGACTCCTTGAAATGACAATAATTTCAAAAAGTGACTGAATTACTGATATGCTGTAAACCAAAGCAACATCTTGTCCATGACTACAGTGCAGAATGACTTCATTACAGATTCACAGTCAACGCAACTCAACGCAACCATCACACACTCTTGTATGTGAAAGCCTGAAAGAGCCCAGATTGGTGGAGCGTCACTCTAACACAGTTACACATTCCTGAGTTCTGGGACAGTAAACAGACAGATAGTGGGGTGAGATGATCATCTCCTTGTCTTCTTAGTGAAGTCTCAACATCCTGCTGTTTATTTGGACAAAGAGTGTAGTTAGAAACAGGGCTAAAGGTTATATGCATATAATAGCCTTATGGTTTTACAATGATCAGGTCTAAGGCTTGTATAGGTTCTTAAAAATGCCATTTCAAGTTAAAATGTCCATTTCTTGAGGTTACAGAGGTTCCTGAAACGTAAAATATTTCAGTGTGAATACTTCATTTGTTCTTCCAGTCTGACCAGAATATTACCTTAAAGTTTGAGGCCAAATTCACAATCATGTCTTTGTTTTACTTGTGTTTTACTACTCTGTACAAATCCCCAAGCTTTTAACAAGATTGAAAGACAATAAATATATATATTTTTTTAGTACTATCTGTTCAAACTGTCTGCTTAAAAAAGCATGCCTAACTAACCAACACAACTGAAAGACACACAGTTACCAATTAGGGTGGCCGATGCGTTGCCTCCCATTACATTTCCTCTTTGGCCTGAATAGAAAGTTAATCATTCACTGAATGATTTCAAAAGACTACAGACATGACAACGGCCTGACTCAGGCACTATGGCACAGTACCTGACACTCCTGGTAGGTAAAATTTTAAATAATTTTGTCTGTCTAGCTCACATTGTTTTTCTTCTAATAAGCAAAACAATAAGAAAAAATTACCCAAACTCAGCATTCAATTAAATGCTCTGAGAGATTTGCTGTAACTTGCAGAAACAACATAAGCAACATAAATAATTCAACATGGATAATGACAAATTTAAGCTCTGGGAAATGTATGTAAAATTTGACGATGTTTGACATCAAGTAAAATGTACTTAAATCTGTCATTATAACTGCTCATGTGCTTAATTTCTGCAGCTAGAATGTCCTGTTGTAATCGCTGCCGTTTTTGTCGCTGGCATTGGTGGGACATTTCAATATGGATTCAGTGTATCTGTGATGACTTCACCGTCTGCTGTAAGTAGAACTACAAAAACCCTTTCCACATCAGCTACAAAGACCCGATACAGATGATAAAACTTGCATTATGCTGGTATATCCAAACTAAAAAAAAAACAATACATGTGATTATTGCAGTTTATAAAGGAGCTGGTGAACAAAACATGTCTGCAGAGATATAATGCCTCCTTGGAGCAGTGGCAGGTTTCTCTCATCTGGTCCTTCACTGTGTCCATTTTCTGCATCGGGGGGTTACTGGGGTCACTGGTGGCTGGTCCACTAATCACAAAATTTGGGAGGTTAGTGTAAACAGAAGAGAGACAACTTCAATTAATGTAGCACCACCAAAGACAAACAAAATTAATCTTTTGTTTCCTGTTTTTTTAATGATGGCTTCAGCCTTTAACACAGCAGTTTCTGTCTCCCTTTCCCCACAGAAAGCAATGCCTTTTGTTAAACAATTTTGTGGCAATAATTGCAGCTGTGTTGATGCTCTTGAGCCAAACAGCAATGTCCTTTGAGATGATCATGGTGGGACGATTTCTCTATGGCATCAATTCAGGTGAACCTACTGTATGAGGAAGCCCATTACATCTCTCTCCTTTAATTTCTTCATAGATGGCTGCTCCATCACTCTGGGCTCTCTATTTAACCCTACAGACAATCAATTTCTATTTATACTTGTCACTATTATATTGCTAAGTTCCCTAGGCCATTTGTCACCCAGTTATTGATCATTATTGACTTTTCTCAAAATGTATGATTCCCTTGTGTACGCCTCTAGGAGTCAGTCTCTCAGCTCACACCATGTACGTTGTTGAATGCGCCCCCAAGAGGCTGCGAGGGATGTTGGGCGTGACCATCGCTACCTTCATCTCCTTGGGGAAGTTCTGTGGTCAGCTGCTGGGGATCAGGTGATGTGGCCAGCGTCATAGATACTGAGAGGTCAGGTGGTGGTAGGTTCAGATGACAGCTCACATGTGGACAGAACTGTCCTCAAGACCCATGGTGCTCCTCTCTGTGGGGGGAGGGGGGCCGGTTTGGATGAAATCTTAACTAGTCGTCCAGTGTCATCATCAGGCCAAAGTTTAATGTGTCCAAGACATTCATGACCTTCCCATCAGCCTCACCTGTATTCTGTGTTTAGTGCTAATTAGCAAAACATAGCATGATAACATTATTCTGCTCTTGCTTTGTACAGGTTAGCTTAGCAAATAGATAACATTAAATCCTTGAGTTTAGGGCTTTTAGATGGGTTCTTTTCTCTTTTTTCTTTGTAAAACCCTAAATATTATTACATTACTCTTCCCATACATATGCATCAATATACAACTCAAATTTAGTATATAGCCATCACATAAGAAAAATTAGTTTCCATTTGCATGAGGTTTGCAGGTCTAATTAGCATCTAAGCATCTATCTCTTAGATAAATGTTAGATTTCATAATTCAAAATACACAGAGTACACATCAGTACACGAAAAATACTTTTCTACAAACAGTGCAGTGAAAACTACAGCAGAGTCAGAAACAAAGGGAACTAACTACGGCACAGAAAGAGGGTTAAACATAAGAACAAAATGCAATACACTTTTACACAACTAAGTGTCTCTTATGCAACCCAAAGACTGTGAGGGCAGAACAAACATGCTAACCTAAGAAGGTGAACGTGAAAATAAACATTAACATGTTACCATTGCCATTGTTAGCATGTTAGCAAACCGATGCTAGAATTTAGTTCTAAAACCCTCATAACACTAATAGAATAATAAAATAATATTAATATAATTGATAGGAATGATGGCCCAAACTTCCAAAATAAGAACATATTTGTAATAAACCTTTAGAACCTGGGTCCCTTTCAACAAGATGACACTTTAGCAGTTAGTGTTTGTGTGCTCGTCATTACACTGCACTGTGATCGCTTTATTACTGCATGATGTTGCCTTTGCAGTGAGTTACTTGGTACACAGGAGAGGTGGCCCTGGCTGCTTGGTTTCAATGGTTTCACTGCATTAGTCCAACTCTCCACCCTGCCCTTCCTGCCAGAGTCTCCCAAGTTCCTTCTGCTGGACAGAGGAAACCGCCAGGCCTGCGAGAAAGGTGTGAGAAATTTTTCTTTTTCGTCTTCTGGGAATTTTCCTTCTACAAATAAATCCTTTGCTCAATTTTGTTTTATTGGTCTCTGGTGTTATCACCACCTTAATCTGCCACTTTGTCACACTCCCCCAGCTTTAAGGAGGCTATGGGGCAACAAGGACTTCAGCACTGAGATTGAGGAGATGCTGGAAGAGAAAGCTGAACTGCAGAGCGTTTGCAACCACTCGGTGATGGAGCTGTTTCAGAGCAAAACAGTCCTCTGGCAACTCCTCACCATCATTGTTACCTTCACCACGCTGCAGCTCTGTGGCATCAACGCTGTGAGTGTGATACACTAAACACTCGCTTGCACAAGAGTAGTAAAATGTTAACTGCACTTTGGGATACAGTACATTCCTTTGCATAATCTGACGTCTCACCTTTTTTTTAAGGCTATGCAGTGGGCAGAGTTAATGATCAGCATTCGGCTTGTTTGTGCCAACCATGAGGACTATTGATCATTTATGTGTTGAAGCTATCATTCTGATGTGTTAATAGCAGTGTTATCTAGACAGAGTGAGAAAATAAAAAAATGCTTATTTTACAGTATTTACATTTGTAAATATTAAAGTCTAATGGATTTTGGGAAAATACACCAAATCACTTTCTAGTGGAGAGTTAGATGATAAAGAAAGTTACAACTCTCAGGAACCCAGGAGCAGTTTAGCACAAAGACTGGAAACAGGGGAAAACAGCTTGCCTGGCTCCATCTCAGCTTAATAAAATCTGCCTACCACCTCCTCTGAAGCTCACTAATTAACAAAAAACAACATGTAAAAATGCCAATTTTCCTTTGTGTTACAATTGTGTTAATTAATGAAGTGGTGGTAATTTGATTTTAAATCCTTTAGACAGAGGCCCTGCTAGCTGTTTCTTGGGTTTCCAGTCTTTGTGCTAAGTTAAACTAACCAGCCACATATTTGCCGCACGGAAGACAAATAAGCCCATTTACCAAAATGTCTAACCAATGTCTTTGATGCAAGAAACAAAATGCTTGTCCTTCAAGGAAAAACAGTTAAAATCTTCAAATCAGCAATATGAGAGCTATAATATAAAGCCTCTAAAAGTGAAAACAACAGTAACAAAAACAACCTTTCAGTCTTCATCAGGAAACTTTGAACAATAATGGAGACTAAAAGTTAACTTTAAATTTTTTTTGGATCAGTGACAAAGAGTTGGCTCCATTTCTTGCTTCTTCCAATCAAAGCCCACCAGATGTTTAGATCATACTTTAAACAAAAACGACAATATTTACTGTGAAATAACAAAATGACCCACTCCTCACTGCACTGCTGCACTGAAGCTTGTAGTTCATGTTAAACTGAAAAAAGTGAACAATGTCTTTAATTCGTGGTTCTTATTCAAATGCTTCTCCCCAGGTGTACTTTTATTCTTTTGATGTGTTTCGTGCGGCAGGAATCCAAGAACACCAGTTACGTTACACGGCCTTGGGAACAGGCCTGTGTGAGCTGGCAACCTCTGTAGCCTGTGTAAGTCCCTTTTCACTAATATCCTGTCATGTTTTACGTCTATTACCAGTGAATGTTGAGTGTGATATCCCTTACATATCCTTACATAGATGTTCTCTATTTGTACTTTTTGTCATTGAGGAACACCCCTTCCTTCTGCTCTCACAGACCTAATGTATAGTTAGAGCTCCCCCTTGTGGTTTACTGCTGAAAATGTGTTTCTGTTGTTGCAGTTTATGATTGTTGAGAATACAGGCAAGAAAGTCCTGCTGCTCAGAGGATATGTAGGAATGTCTGCAACCCTGATCCTCCTCACCGTCACTCTGTACCTGCAAGTGAGTTACCACGAAACCAGACACTGTTTGCAGCATATTTGGATGCTACAAAAGTGACAACAGATGACTGACAGCAACTCAAATCACTTATAAACTCCTTTTTCCTCAGACTCAGGTCTCCTGGATGCCGTACTGCAGCATGGTCCTCATTTTTATTTTCATTTTCTTTTTTGCCAGTGGACCAGGTACGTTTATCACTCCAGATCCGAGCCATTTTATGAATGATTTCAATTTCAGTATGTCCTTTCTGAATCAACAAGGATTACATCTTACTGCAGTGTTTACTTCCTTTGTTCTTGACCCTCAGCTGGAGTAACAGCTCCTCTTCCAGGGGAATTATTTACTCAGTCATTCAAATCAGCTGGATACACAATCGCCTGCACTCTCAACTGGACAGGGCTGTTTGTGCTGGGGATGGTCTTTCCTATCTTAGTGGTAAAGCACATTGCTTTCTTCGCCTAATTTGGCATATTTTTGACTACAGGCCAGTTAGTTAGGAGAGATTATTCAATGCATCACTCACACTAATGTACAAATGTCCTCCAAAATGCTTCCTTTCCAGGCGAACCTCAAGTACTTTTGCTTTCTCATATTCCTGTTTTTTTGCACCGGCTGTGGTCTGTATGTGAGGCTGTACTTCCCTGAGACTAAGAATCGGACAGCGCTGGAGATTGCTGCAGAGTTTGAGAAGATACACAGCAAATCGGAAAAATTGCAGAGGAAAAACAACACTGAGCAGAAACTCAACGGGATCAAAACATACATGACCAAGTTATGATCATATTCACAGAGGTCATAAAGTGTCCAACAGCAGACATTTAGCTTGAAGAAGTCACTTTATATCACACTGAGGTTACTGAAATGGTTTAAATGTAACTCAGGCAGAAAGATACAACTCATATAACAGTTTAATTCTATTATTACAGACCATCTGAATCATTTTTACTGAGTCAGTCATGTGAACAATACAGTACTGTAAGACAACGTTAATAAAAGTGGTTTTACTGTCTTCTATGGCTTATGTTGTTTTTTGGGGATTGTGTATCAAAGTATATTTTAATGTGTTCCTATTTTGTGTTTGTGTGTTGTTATTTTAGTGGTGAACTGTCATTATTGATCTTTAAAATGTCCCAAGGGGATATTGGCTCCAGTTGTCAGACAAGACTGTATTTATCTTTGCCCTTGTAACTTAAAACAAGGTTTGGTCCTTTAGGTTATCAGTGTGGTCTGCATGTTTAAGCTCAGACCAAACAGATACGCATCAGAACATCCAGTGTCCAGTTGCATAAACTTCATGCAGCATGCAGGACAAATGGCCTCAAGTGTGTGTGTGTGTGTGTGTGTGTGTGTGTGTGTGTGTGTGTGTGTGTGTGTGTGTGTGTGCATGTGTTTATCTACAAGAAATGTGTGCTCAGCTAGCTACTGTTCGAAAAGTTGTTCTACTTCACCACATTTCAGAGAAAAACATTTCACTTTTGACTTCACTGTGTTATCTGACAGCTTAAGTTACTTTACAGATTTATATTTTACACATATTATATAAATTCGACACTTTATTAACTAAACTACCCGACAGTGTGAGTTTATACAGGACAGTAAAATAGTAAAAAATAATAGATTAGTTTCACTTCAACAAGCTGTAACACTGAAATGCAGCTCACATATTAATACATTAGTTATTATAATATATAGCAATTTACTGTATATAGTATACTTGGTAAGCAATTACATTTTTTGTATCATGCACATACAAATCCTAGATCATAATAAATTTGCAGCATAGGACACCAAACATTATGTTGCAATGGTGAAATAACAGCTGTCAGAAAAGACAGAAACAAAGAGCTGTGTCTTCTCTCTAACGCTTTACAAATAACATCTGTCACAGAAAAGGTTCCCTTCCTAAAACACAACTCAGATTTTTATCATCATCCACAAAAAATCAGACATGAAGATCATTGTGAAAAATGGGAAGCTTTATGGTCTTCAATCTAAATCTAAATCACATAACAAAGTATTTTCTCTTAAGGGAGACAATGAAACCTGACTTTCTCTGTCCCTAAATGTACCTGAATGTAATGTGAACACAGATATTCCTGAATTTTGGTTTCTATTTCACACATATTTCTACACTGCAGATGTTTTTTTTCACGAGACAAGATGTTTGTTATATAGATTTGAACTTTTGCATGTAATGCTTTAAGAACATATTGCTGACTTCTATAGGCCTACTTGTGCAGTGCAGCTTTAGGTGAAGCCAAATGCGAATGGACCACATTAACATATGAACTATTTTGCTTTGAATGAATACAGTGTACCAGTTCGGGTCACAGCGGGCTGACAGTCATCGGGAAACTCCTACCCAATTACGCAGGCGTACAGCCCCGGCACATGTGTGCGCCTCTGATAACACAATCTACGCGTTCAAAGCCAAATGTCATGCGGGACGAATGTGTGACCAAAGCTAAAGAAGAGAGCCGGGATGCGTGTGTCCTGCAGCTGTTTACATCACCAACAACTCCACGCCCACAAAACTTGGGTACGTTTTGGTCATTTAAATGCCTCTGTAGTGAGTGACGGCGAAAAAAAGTAGCAGAGTAGCAGAGCATCCGAGCAGTTGCAGGCTTCGTTTTAAAGTTTGCAGACAATGGACTCAAAGGACGCAATGGAAACAGATCCCATCGTCTCCTCTGATGCGCCCAGGGTGAAGAGAGGCTTTGACCAAAAGTGAGTCCATTTGATTTAGGTTAATATCAATGTCATACACAAATATACTCCGAGGTGAACAACACCATTAATGTTTGAAATATCCTTCCTACCATGCTTTAAACTGGTATTTTACAACACTATGATACAATATTGTGAAGTTTTGTAACTTTTCCCCCCCTCAGTTAATCTTTCTGTGTTTGATTGGTCACACCAGACAGGAGGAATCCACTTTCTGTATTTATTTCTACATTATTAACAAGTCATTCTCTTCAGTGATTTAATAATTATGCTATTTATAAATTATTCTTTTTACAAATTACAAATGCTTCCTGACACTGCTCACCTGCCTCTATCCTCTGAAGGATCCTATCACTAAATATTTTAATCAGCGGACACTGAAACCAGAAGCCACTCCTTCTACAGTACATCAGAAACTCTGGCCAGCTTTTATTTGCTGGATTGATCCCAGGAGAAAGATCCTCAGTGCTCAGCAGTAACACACTTACAAAACAGGAGCTTGCAGGTAAATTATTTAGAGAAACCTTACAAGTATAAACTGTCAGGCAAGGGTTGAGCCTTGGGCCATACAGACCTGAGGTGCTGCAGATAGGCCTCTCTTTCTCTGTCAGGGTGTCACTGATAAAGAGGAGCATCTGGTAGCAAGTGACACAGGAAACAATGTACAGTTACAGCGTCTGTTAAAAACACACCATGTTTTTAAAAAAAAATATCCAGTGCTGGTTTATTGGCAGTCATTTGAAACAGTGGAGGAGATAGCTGAAGGTAATGATAACATCTCTACCCAGCTCCACCTCTGCTGTAGGGACTTACAGCTTGACGGTAGCAGGGTAGTAAAACTACAACAAGGTAACTGAGGTCTGATGTAGATGAAGTTCCTGAATTTCTAAAAGAATCCTTTGATTAAAAAAAAGCCATTAAGCCATTAAAGCAACCACAAGGATACCTAATAATGTCACAGACTTTGCTTCAGGCCTACATAAACACAACATCTGGATAGAACTGATGCAAACACGCCGATAAGCAAATACCTGACTGTGTATTCTGCAACATACTGAACCTTCAGAAAACCTCACCACACACACAGATTGTGCAACTTACCCTATATAACATCTCTGAGATCTTGTCCTCAGACGTCTTTGTCCGGGTCATGTGTCTGTATACTTCAACTGTGTTGTTGTTGATCACAGGGTGTTCGTCAACAGAAGTCTGACGCTGGAAAACATCAAATGCTATGGCTTTGACATGGACTACACGATGGCAAGTATGTAAAGGCATCACTGCAACAGAAAGACCTGTGTGTATGAAGTTGTAAATCTCAACTCTATTGTATTGAATTCTTTATTCTGACCTGGCTACACAAGGTTTATTGGCTGGTGTTGTTTTTGCTGTGTGTGTTTGTTTGTAGTGTATAAGTCTCCTGATTACGAGAGCCTGGGGTTTGAGCTGATAAGAGACAGGATGGTGTCTATTGGATACCCTCATGAGCTTCTACGCTACACATACGACCCCAGCTTCCCCACACGGTTAGTTTTAAATCAACCTGAGGATTCATGTTACAATAAAATTGATTAATAATAATACAGAGTAGTCAATTAATTGGAAAAAGGAATCTGCAACTATTTTGATGATCAATTACTCTTTAAATAATTGCCAAACATTTCCATGATGGGCAGCTTTGAATATTTCTGGCATTTAATTGATCAATCCATCAATAATTAAAATAACTGCTAAGTTTCAATTATTGTTGTCATGTCTTAATAACCTTCACACCTTCGTCTCTCTTTTCCCCCCACCTACAGCGGTTTAGTGATTGACACCACATACGGAAACCTCCTGAAGGTGGATTCAAATGGGAATATTTTAGTCTGCAGTCACGGCTTCTGCTTCATCAAAGGGTAAAGTTGAAATCTTTACAGAATACAGTACAAAAATGTCGCCACATACTCTGTTTTTAAAGATAGATGGATGCCACGCATAGTTATTTAATGAGAAGGGAAGCACAAACAGCTAATTGTGACAGCACCATGATGGTCAGCTGAGATGAGCTGGCTAGACATGGTCTTTGTTGGTCTCTGGTTACAAACCGCAGCAGCAGATAAACATGAGGGTGTCTAATCTGTTTTGTTTCGATATATTATGACAAGGTTTCACAGAGAGAGATTTCAGAGCCATAAAATTTACATTCATGCACATTTGTTTACAGCTTTTCAGTCAGTTAGTTTTGCATGTTTGTACATTTGTAATATTAAACTGTGTTATGTTTGTGCTCCACAGGGAAGACATCCACAAATACTACCCCAACAAGTTCATTCAAAGAGACGACACTGAGCGTTTCTACATTCTCAACACACTCTTCAATCTTTCAGGTATAAAATTCAGCTGTAGAGGCAATAAAGATCTTGAATTTGACAGTTAAATTCATATTTTCTGTGTAATCCTGTAAGTATAAAAAGATATATATGATATCCTGTAAATGTTAGCTGACCTGTGTTTTTATGCATCCCGCAGAAACGTATCTCTACACCTGCCTTGTGGACTTCTTCACCAGATGCACGAGATACACAAAGTGAGTTTCATTTCCCCCATAGGTTTGACTCTTTTTCGCCGCTCCTGTTTTACCTCTCAGATCTGAACTGTTATAAATCAATCCATGAATTATTTGTCACACACACCTCACCACTTTTTCTCTGCTGTTACGTTTTTCTTTCAGACTCCTGAAGGGTTACCAGCATGGCGACTTGTTTATGTCCTACAGAAGCATGTTCCAGGATGTTCGAGATGCAATGGACTTCATTCACGATACGGTGAATTAACAGATTAAATTATACAGAATTGTGCCCCATTGTTGGCCTGGGAAATCCTACTTTGTCTCTACTGAACAGTAACTGGTATACTGTATCTGTTTGTGCTGTATAGGGAATCCTAAAGGAACGAACCATCAAGAATTTGGAGAAATATGTTGTCAAAGATGTGAGTAAACTGACAAGAATATGCATCAAAATGTGTTTGAGCTTTCTGACATACAATAAATAAATGAATATGTTCTTTACAGACAAATCTCCCTGTACTCCTGACCCGGATTAAAGAGGTGGCCAAGGTCTTCCTGGCCACCAACAGTGACTACAACTACACTGAGGTGAGCTTCTAATAGTGCCAATACAAATTATATGAACCTTCAAAAACATAATTTATTCTAACGTCTTATTTTTTTCTCCTTCTCCATCAAGTCCATTATGAAATACCTACTTGAAAGCAATGCTAAAGTAAGTGTATTAAGTG